GCAGCGTTTTGCGTCGGTGGAAGTGAAGGGGGGCTGCGGCTACCGACGCTGAATCTTGAGCGGGGAGCCCCGCCAGGGCGCAGGCGCACGGTTGCCCGAGCGGGTAGCACCGCCGGGTGACCGCCCCTAGCCTTTAAGGGGGGTGTAGTGATACGTGATGTTTCACATGTACAGTTGTTTGTAAAGACCTAGGGGCTTGAGCCTGAGCTACCGCAGCCCTTTTTCAGTTTCGAGAAAAGAGCCCAATTTCGCCTGCGCGGTTCCTCCGCGCTTTCGCACTACGCGACCTTCTTGAGTTACATGCCAGGTTACTTCGTGGTTTGCTTGGTTTTGGTTGGTTGTTTATTGGTTCTGGTTTTTGTTGGTGGTTCTTTGCTTTTGCAACCTGGCTCGTAACTCTCTCTTAACTAGCGCAAGATGACCTGTGCAATCTCTGCACACATGGCGTCTCCACCCGTGCAAAAAATCTTGCCTGAATTCGTTGCCCAACCGCAAAGAAGCAGTGATCTCCTTTCGTGATTTTTCGTGGGGTTGTTTGTGTGGCGCTTGTTTTGTGTTGCTGCTTTTTGGTTTCCTTTCCAGGAGATTCACCGCTTGGGCCTCCTTCCATCACAATACCGACACGCCGATTGCGTTTCACAAAATTTTAATTCGGTCGGAGAAAGGAAGTTCCAAGAAAACACAAAGACCAACAGAAACCCACGAAACCCAACCTTAACGTTGAAGTCCCGGTGCTTCTTCAAAGCGGGGCGCTCCACACTTGCGTCAAGGCATTCCAAGTTTTCTTCGCGCTCAACCATTCTTGACAAATGCTTGGAGGGCTTGGCCATTGATTTGTCCAAAGATAAATTGCACTTTTGAGTGAACTAGTGGCCTTCATTTTGGGGTCCAAAAACCCTGGCGAATCTAGCTGCGGAGGGCCTCGCCAGCTTCTTTTTTGGAACTTTGCATCGTCGCAGCAGATCTCAGCGGCAAAAGAAGAAATTTGCTGATCTTCAAAAGGTTGGTTGTTTCTTGCAACTCGGAAGATCACTTTTTGAATTGTCCAAACAGCGCCGAAGACTGGAAGTTCTTCAGAAAAAATTTCTTCAATCGCTCATTGCAACAGTGTTCTGGAATGCAAGGCGGCAGAGCGTGGCATGCTCATCAGCGCTCCAGCCTCGATGATTGGACTCCGCCAATCAGCCGCAGACGCGGCAGCGCAACCCATTTCGGCGCAAAAAACTCGCATTTTTAAACCAAAGTTGGCGTGTCAAAGTTGAATACAGTTTTACTTTGTTCGTTCAAGCCGACCAACCCAGAAGCCAGAAATGGCTTTGAAAAATGCGGGTGGCTCAGACTCTGAAAATTTCCGGACCCATCACCGCCTGTCATCAGTCCACTTCAGTTGCTTGGAGCGGCGTGTTGCGGATTTCAACTTTCACCTTGACAATCACACATCAAAACTCCATGTGCCAAGTCAACTGAGAAAGTGTTTCAACCGAATCGTCAGAAAACGATGAAATTCGAGCCAGACATGTCTTCTTTTGCGCTTGAAATCTGTTCAAGGCCAGGCATTTGTTTTTGCGCTCGTCTGGGCAAGTCAAGGAGCTGGGAGTTCTTCCGTTCGACCTCAAAAAAATTGTTTCTTTCTTCTTACAGGTTGTGTTTTCTCCGGTTTGGAGTCAGCATTTTGTCCCTGTCCATTTAGGCCTTTTGGTTGCCTTTTCAGGGCGTGCGGCGTGCGTTCGCTTCGGGTGAGCTGCGTCTTGAGGTCTGTTTGTTTGATAGTCTGAGGGTCTTGGATTCGCAGTTGCCACAGAAGTGGGTGGTGGAACAGGCCGTGTCACGTCTGAATTGGGTGATGTTTGTTTTATGCAGTTCTACTTTGTCGAATCATTCTTTTTGTTTGCCAGAAGTCCTGCGGGAAAATTAGAGTTTGGTTGCCAAAACGAAAGCGCGGTTGTTTGTTAAAAAAAACTTTCAAACGTGGGAAAAAAACACATGATTTCAAAAAATTGTCTGAGAGAAGACCTGTCGCGATGAGGATTGGAGGTGTCGAGAGAGTCAAGTAAAAAGACAAGGGAAACGGGTAAAAAATAGCAATATTCAACGCGCACTTTTTTGACATAGTTATGATGATGCCGGTGATGCCAAAATTGAGGGTTGCATTTTTAACATTTTTTGTTCCACCGCATCATCAGTCTTTGGTGAGGGAACAGCTGGATGTTGATCGATTCGCTGGGTCAGTGAATTTGTGGCGGGTGGTCTGTTGAGTATCCTTCAACGCTGTTCCATGTTGCATCGTTCTTGGACATTGGAAATCCCACTTTCCACGGACACGGCTGGACAACTCGACCAATTTGTTGCTGGAATGCGTTCTCACCTTGCAACAGGCACTTGGGATGGTTTGCCAACGGGGTTATTCACTGTCTAGCAAAATTTGGCAGAAGCAACAGGAAACACATAATTTGTTTGAATGATTCATTGAATAGCCGTGCTCCTAAAGGCAGGAATATGCAAAAGATGAGCAAACAACAAATACATGGTATGTGTCCATAGATAGGCTGGTCTTGTTCGTTGAAGCATAGAAATTGGCCACCGCAAAAGCAGTCTTCAATTTTCAATGTTTGCTGTTTCGTTGTGTCTAAAATGGAGTTGTGGCACAACCCTCTATTAAATAGGATTTTTGTTGAATTCGCCAAGGTTGATCGCAGATATTAGATGCAGGGTTGTGTTTCTTGATCATTCACCCCAAATCAGCAGTCCTGGGTTCACGTTCTCGAACTGTATTCTTTGCCGTTTTTCAGCTTGATTTCATTTCGATTGGAGACTCCAGAGGAAGCTGAGAAGCCTCAAGACGACTGCTGACGCACCTGACTTGATTCCCATGGCTCCCAAAACCGCGCCAAAGGCTGAGGCCAAACCCAAGGCAAAAGCTGACGCGAAGGCAAAGGGAAAGGCCAAGGCGGGAGCCAGGCATATCACAGAGTCATAAAATCAGTAACAAAAACCTAATTGTTCATGAAGTTTGGCTGTCCAGTTCTTTAAAGGCGAAGAAGGAGGAGGCGCCAGAGGAGGAGAAGAACAAGGTGCCCCAGCCTGATAAGGCCGAGCACGATGCCAAGGTGGGCCTGTTCAATCTGCTAGATGATCGCTACTAGGAACAAGGGCGCTAGTAGGGGCCCCTGGCCGTACTACTAGGAGCAAGGACGCTAGTAGGGGCTCCTGGCATCGCTACTAGGAGCAAGGACGCTACTGTGTGAATCGTGTCAAGTCTCGTTCCGTGGGCTGGACTATGGCACGTGGTCCCAGCTCTGCTTCGTTGGTGCTCTTGACTAGGTCCAGAAGGTTCAGGACGAGATTGACAAGCTGACCAAGAAGCAGAAGGAGCTGGTGGTGTGGGCTAGGATGATGATTCTCTATTGTGAGTTGTCTGCACCTCCATTGATGATTGCACACTGGACACATTTCGCGGTGTCTCGAGGACTTAACCGAGAAAATCCAGCAGCGTTCCAGTGGAAAGGAGGAGTTCTATGCCAAGAAGACCGAGCTACGCACACAGCTGGATGAGTTCACTGCGAAGATGGATGAACTGCAGGCGCCGACGATTCGATCGGCGCCCGTGTTTCACCTATTTGGGGTGCTGCATTTGCCGTCGAGTGGCTATGTTGGGCATGATTTGCAGTGCTTCGAAACAAGCCCAAGCACATGCACAGGTATATTTTTGCAATTTTGTATACTCTGTTTGCACTCACTATTTTCTTGACACGTCGACACCCGTCTCCGTGTGCTGGAGAGTTAAAGCCAAGTGTCATTGGTCACATAGGAGAGGTGATTGGAGAGGTGATTTTGGACAAGAGTGGGGAGCATTTGAGTGGTTTGGTAGAGCAGAGCAGGCAGTGCTTTCTCCTTTGCAGTCAGCTATATGAGTTGACCTCTCTTCTCGAACCACTGTTGAACCAGGGTCATGATATACATCTTCAAGACCGTGCGAGTGTGAATGGGGTGGGGTCATCCTGGGTCATCCTAGAACTCCGATGCCCAAAAACCATTGCCAACTCCAAAGCTGAGAAAAAACAAACGCTGTCATGTGTTTGGAGAAACCATCTGGAGGCCATCGCTATTAGGTTGGAGGCCATTGCGATTAGGTTCAATCCCGTGTCCATCGGTTGCTTCCCCGTCCATCCGTTGGCTCTTTGGCCAGGCCAAGAAGGAGGACATCGACAAGGCCGTTGGCAGCAAGCGTGAGGAGGGCCGTGAGATGCGCTCGCAGCTGAACACGATGAAGCGGCTCGGATGATCACCGTCTCACCAAGCCAAGCTTTTAGCTTTTCTTTTTCCGTGGCCGCATTTTCGCACCATGAAAGGGATGATCAATCCATCAAAGCATCCAAAACCACCGACCAATTTAGCAAGGAGCGGTCGTGAAATGCAGAAGATTGGCCGGAAACTGTAAAAGTGATAGGCCCAGCTCCAAAGCAACTACATTGTTGTTTCATGTCCTCTTCATTTACAAGTGGTTTTGCACTTGAGCTTCAAAGAAGACACGGGCTCGTGAACCCCACTGACTGATTTCCTTTGGTGCGCAATCCGTTTTTTTCACTCAATAGGAACACCGTGTTTGCACTATGCAGTGCCTACCAATCGATCCCAATGGTGCTAGGAAGACCATCGGCTACAAAAACGAGCAAGAGATCGACAACCGCATCGCCAGCATTGAGTTCCAGCTTTGCACTGAGTCGGTTCCCCTCAAGGACTGCAACAACACAATGGAGCTTGCTTGGGAAGACAAAATTGAGTAGAAATATGTCCTCAAGAGCAAAATCCTCAAGGCTAAAAGACAAGTCAATTGTGCTTCCCATAAATTGAATCTTTGGATGTTTTTTTACAGGTTTGACCAACAGGCATTGTCCAAACAATGGTCGAGAAGAGGAAGAGAAGAAGCTGTTGGCCGAGATTGCGCTGCTGAAGAAGAACCGCTCCAAGGTCAGCACGGTGCAGCAGATGGAACAGACTCTTGGCTTGGCTTACACGTGTTGACATTCCTCAAGATTGTTGGACCATTGAAGACCTAGAGAATAGAGTCCAGATCTCTACTCTTAACTGCTCACAGCACCACTTTCCTTCGACGCCTTTACCTCTTCCTGTCCAGGACCTTGGCGACCTTTGATCCTGGCATGTCCATGAAGGAGCAGAAGGCGGCCATCAATCAGGAGATGCAGCAGTACCGTGAGGAGAAGAAAAAGATCCAGGCACCTTTGGAACTGAATCACTGTGTGTTTCTTTCTTTTTCCCTTTTTCAGGTGTTTAGACCACTCACTCAGAGCCGGTGTGCGTTGTCTTCAAGCATGACTGCAGGAAAAGATGTCGGAGTTGCAAGAGAGCCGCAAAGCGCAGCTGGGTGACATGTCAGACATCATTGAGAAGCGTGATGCGTTGGGCCGTGAGATCCAGGCAGCTGGTTGACGCAGCACTTCGCGTGGGTGCAGGGCTGTAGGGGAAACAAAGTGCCAGTGAGCATTTTGTTTGATGTATTGGGTAACTTGTCGATGGATATTGATTGGGACACTCACCGTATCCTTTTTGTTACCTATCCAAACGTCAATTTTGACAATCCCCGATACACTCCAACCCTTGTCAAGCATGTCCTTTTGGAAAGTGAGTGCTTCATCAAGACATATTAAGACTCATCACTTGGTCGTAGACCGGCCCAGTTGGCAGGAGAAGTACAAGGAGAAAAGCGAGATCCGTGACGAGTTCCGCCAGAAGGAACGCGAGTACAAAGCCTACATCGTGCCTTGGCAATCGCTTGGATTCTGTCCCGTTCCCCGCGAAACAGAAGATCACGTCTTCCAGAAAAGGGCTATCTTAGACAGTCCGGCGTTCCATTTTTCGCTTGGCCCCCTTGGCTGGCGCAAGGATGAGCAGAGGAAGGCTCGCCAGGCAGGTGTTGTTTTGGGAAATACAGGTTTGCTTTGAAACAAGCTGGGTTGTGCCGCATGTTTTTTGACCTCGACCCATGCCAGTTTCCGTGCTATCTTCATTCTTTGGAAGCAATAGGCAGAAAAGCAGAAGGGGTTGCTGATCAAGTCAACCTGCTATTCTCAGCCAAATAGATCAAGACGGCGACAGGGTTCCAAAGCTCTACCATCTCAAGCGAATGTTGTCGGTGTTTTCGATGAAAGCTTGTGAAGGAGAAGATCATGGCCGAGAAGGCCGAGCGCCAGAAGGAGATCGACCTCCGCCGCAAAGAGCGCCAGGCGAAGGAGTTGGACATCCAGCCCTACATTTCCGAGCCTTGCCCGAGTTGGCCGGGGAGGGTGTAGTTCACTGCCAAGGGCGACACCAAAATTGTCCTGGGCAAAGGCGAAAAAGCATCCAGGGTGGTGGTGATGTCTAACTTCCTTGGGGCCATGGATGCTTTTTTGAACTCACAAGTTCCTGAAAATGCGTCCAACCTTGGAAGTTGTCACCATTTCAGGAGATGACCCTCATTGAGCAGACCATCCTCTTCTGCAAGAACCTGGTGCAGACGAAGACCGAGGATAAGAAGGACCGGGAAATTCCATCCATTGCACAAAAGGCCAAGGTTGCCAAGGCTGATGTTTGTTGTCATTGTGCTCTATTTGTCAACACTGATTACTGCATCACACCCAGATGATGCCACTGACCCATCGGGTTCCCATTGTTCCCTCTGTGTGTCGATGCATTGGGTTCCCATTATTTCCCATTTTGAGTTGAGGACGAGAAGAAGGAGGTTGTTCACAACAACCCCGAGGGCTCTGAGGTGCTCCTCCGGAAAGAGGACGCTGAGGGTATGAGAGACAGTGTTGACCGAGGAAAGAGGTTGTCTCTGTCATTCAGCTTCGAACCAAAGACGTTCCATCGTCATGTCGTTGCATTTCTTCCAGGACCGAGACGAGGAGTTCTACTTTGCACCCACCAAGAACAAAAAGAACAAGAGCAAGGCCAAGAGCAGCAGTGAGCCTGCTGCCAAGCCCATCAAGCACAATGCCAACACCTTCAGCCTGTTCAAGCAACTTGAGCTGGATGCTCCCCTTTCCACGGATGATGTCCCACCCCTTCTGGAGAAGTTGGATGCGATGCTGGAGGACTACAAAGTGAAGGTGAAGGAGTGGGAAGCGACCAAAGAGGAGCAGAAGAGGCGCATCATGGAAGGCTTGGCAGAAATCGAGGAGAAAAAGGCGGCCAGGGAGGCTGAGGCAGCTGATGAGGAGGCTGAGGAAAAAGAGGAGAAGGAGGAAAAGGAGGAGAAGGAAGAAGGCAAGGATGAAAGCAAAGAGGAGGAGGCTGAAGAGTGAGGTTTTGGACAGTCAGGTGCAAGTCAGACAGGAGGCCGGTGGTCGTTTGAACCAGACGACGAGACATCTTTGAGCCCGCCGGACCTTCTCAGAGCAGAACTTGAGGCAAAAGAGCTGCGTCAACATGTTTCTTGTGTCCATTGGCCTTACGGATGTCTACACATGTCATTTGCTGGAATCAAGTAGTGTTTGATTTGTGCGGAGTTGATCAATGATGCCAAAGGCTCATAGATATCAGATACCTATCAAAGTTAAGATTTCAATTGCTGTCAATGGCAAGCTTCAAAGTCAAGAAGGAATCCCACGAAGAACTACACAATTTCAGAGTTTCTTGAGAATATAGACTTATATAGAGGGAGTGTTGCCCAGGTCTTGGCATAGTGCAATATGGAAAAAGAGCATTATGTATGTTGTTGCTTTTGATGTTTGCTAAACATGCTACTTTGCAGATTCTGTATACTGGATTCTTCTTTTTTAATGCTACTTCGCAGAACAGCTGAGATGGCGAGCCCTAAGCTTCCGGGCACCCGCCATGTAAACTTCAGTGTGGTCGGGGCCTATTCCTTGTGTTTGGCTGTTTCTTATCAAAAAGAGCCTTCACAAACTTAGAAACAAGACCCCAGTCGAGCAACCAAGCGTTCAATTGACATGCTTTCGGCCTTTTTGTTTACAGGATCCTTCGTCTCCTGCCAGTGATGCAACTGGAAGGTTGGAGCAGATACCTTCAGATCTCTGAGGATGTGGAATGCACCGGTTTCGAGAGCATTTCTTTGCGTTACAGTATTCAAGCATCAACAATGAGCAATGAAGTCAACTTTCTCACCTGTTGAAATGCTAGCTTAGCCAGCTTTTCTTTGCTGAACTCAGCTTTGCCTGCTCATCTCAGGTCCTGTTCAGCCATGTTGGCTTTTGTTGGAACTGTGACATGACGAAACCAAGCAAGCCAACAAAAGTACAGAGAATACTTTTACTAAACTAGACAAAAGCATATCTGAGCATGGACAGGGTTGCGCAGTTTCTGACATTGAATACTGACAACTTTGTTTTCATGCAACGCCTATTTAATAACTTGGTGAATTCAGCCAACCCCTTGAAGAAAAAGAAAGCCACTCATTTGCTCTTTCCTTTCAGCACCCGTTGGGGCGGAATGGACGAAAACAGCCAGCCTGTGGCTGTGCTGGTCCGCACCGATGGTGCCCCGAAGACTGTGCCGCCGCTGATTGTCTTCAGCAGTGTAAACTCTTCAGTGTCAGTTGGACGTGCTGAAAACAATCAGATCCCTCTGAATGACAAAAAGATCTCCAAGAATCATGCACTGCTCACCCTCCGGTCGTGCAAGCGCAAGGGCGCTCAGGATGGGGAGGCCGGAGGGGTGCGGGCGGGTGCGGGCGTGCAGGCAGTGATTTTTCTCGGCCAAACTTTGATTTGTTTTTCTTTTGACACACTTTGTGATTTCACTCGCCAGGTGATGAGGCGAGTGTTCATCAAGGATTCATCCACCTTTGGCACCTTTGTGAATGGCAAGCCGCTCAAAAAGGGTGAGTGGACCATCCTTCAGGAGGGTGATGCGATAGGGCTGCGGAATCCTCATGGCAACCCCTCCAATGGTGAGTACAAGGTTGTATACCAGGATGCAATTGCACTGGTGAATGGTGCTGTTTACCGTGGTGAGGTGCCGGTGAAAGCGGTTCCGGCTTCGGAGCCGTTGCAGAAGGCGCCGGCCCAGAAGCAAAAGCTGCCGGTGCCCCGCGTGAAGACGGAGATCGAGGAGAAGCCCGACCGAAGCAAGGTGGCCGTGAAGGCCGAGCCGGAGGCTGGCAGCCCAGCAGGTCAGCCGGAGGCCGGCAGCCCGGTGAGTGAGGTCTCGGGTCCCAAGGCGGCGCCCACCAAGGCAGAACCTCAAGAGGATGTGATGAGCCCCTTGTCCGAAGTCAGTGAGGTCTCTGCGCCTGATGAGGATGAGAAGACGGAAAATCTTCCTGTGCCAGGTGCTCTTCCTGTCCCAGGAGCTCCTTTGATGATGATGCCTGGCATGGGCTTAGTACCTGGCATGCCTTTTGGTCTACCAGGACTGGTTCCTGGCGCACCCGGCTTCCCTTTGGTGCCTCCCAGCTTCCAGCCAAGCGGCCCAATGCCCAATGCCGCATTGCCTGGTGCGAAGGCAGGTCAAAATGCCAAGGCTCCAAGCCAAGCAGTAGCAGCCAAGCCTGTGGTGATGACTATCGGTGCTGAGTTTGTGGGCATGCTCATTGGACGAGGAGGAGAAGTTGTGAAACAGCTCTCAACGGAAAGTGGGGCGAGAATTGAGATCTCCAAGACAGAGACTGAAGGTGGCAAGGCAGGCGAGCGTACTGTCTACATCAGTGGATTGCAGGACTGTGTCGACAAGGCCAAGAAGCTCATCGATGATGCCATTGACAAGGCCAAGGAAAGAACCGGCCAGGTGAATCCGAATGCCTGCACTCTGAAAGTGCCTCATGAACTCATTGGCATGCTCATTGGGAGGGGCGGAGAGACCATCAAGGAGTTGAAGAAGGAAAGTGGCGCCCGGATTGATATCAACAAAGAGCCAGATGATGAGGGCTCCCAAGATCGGCAAGTCCACATCACTGGGCCTCCAGAGTGTGTGGAGTATGCCAAGAAGATGGTGGAGGAGATGTTGGGCAAGTCCAGGGAGGGCCTGAGGGTCAAAGTGGAGGATGATGAAAGGGATGGAGATGGGGTTCCCAGTGGAAATGCTCGTTCCAGTCGTGTGATCAAGGTGCCAACGCATATGATTGGTGTCCTGATAGGCCGAGGTGGAGAGACAATCTCCAAGATTCAAAAGGACTCGGCTGCTCGAATTGAGATCAACAGGGATGACAAGGATTCGAAGGAACGCAGTGTGACCATCACTGGCACAGGAGACAATGTTGAGAGAGCGATCCGGGCCATTGATGATGTTCTGGAAAGCTCCGGCAAGGGTCGAAGACGAAGAGATGCCGATGCCGATGAAGGTGCGTTGGTGCCGCTCGATCGAAAGCCCTCTCCTGTGAAAGACAGCTGGGTTCCTGAGAAGGTCTACATCGATGAAGTTGAGATGCCTTATAGACCGAACTATGTTCCTGAGCACGAGGATGGCTTGCCCACCGACCTGGAAATTTTTGTCAAAGGCCTTCCAAAGGTCTGTGCCGAGCGCGATCTGTGGGAGCACCTTTACAGGCTAGGGGCGACTGATGTGAAGGAGATTCTCCTCCTGCGTCGCCAGAAGCAACCCAAGGGCATGGCATATGTGGTCTTCAATCGGCATGACCATGCTGTCCTTGCCAAGAACAAGCTCCACAACATGCCAGCCTCTTCGATCCCCTGCGGGGGTGAGACACCCAACGAGGACAAGCAACTGCTGCAGGTGCGCTTCTCCGAGTCCGAGCGGTGCATCAATGGGCGGAGCAATGTCTATGGTGCCGACATGGCCGTGTTGCTGATGGGCCCTCGTGGTCGAGCCATGTTGGAGGTGAAGGATGCTTCAGGCCTCCGCAAGGTGACGCTCACGGGGCGCAACATGAAGACCTATGGCCAAGTGGACGAAGACCCTCGGATGCATATGGTCGTCTATTACGAGACCGATGAGGTGGAGAATGTCATTTGGTGGAAGATTCAGTGCGTACTGTTTCCTTTTGTTCACTGTCCACTGTAGTTGCAGAGAGTAGTCTGAAGATGTAAGAAGTAGAATCCTGAATAGCCCAAAATTAAGATGTCTTTTGGCTTCAGCCAGGTGACGAAAGCCATTGATTTGTGGGGGAAGCAGCTGGGTGAAATCCATCGAGAGATTGTGGAGCGAAGCAAAGGGAAAGGGAAGGGGAAGGGTTGGCCACCTTGGCCTCCCTTTCCGCATTACCCACGGCCCCATGGCCATCCCTATGCACCTATGCCGCCTCATATGCATGGGCCTCCAATGCCCCACATGCATCCTCCACCAGAGCCCATCGTGGAAGCTCCGGTGATCCTTACTCGTCGGCGGCGGGAGGGTGACGATGGCTCCGAGATGAGTCGCGAGAAAGTCATGGAGGCCACAAGTTTGCGTGGCCGAGAATTGAGATGGCAACCTTGGCCGGATGTGAGCAAGTTCAATGGGGAGTGGAAGGTCATCCCTTTGAGATGGGGCCTTCGTGGTGAGCTTTTTGTTCTTCTTCGCCACCGCGAGTCGGGAGAAACCAAGGTTTGTGCCGCTGAAGTGCAAAATCCTTTAGAGAAGTGGCCAGTCTTGCACACCAACTCGGGCCCTTCATCCCCATCTGCCAAGTATAAGTCTTTCACCTTCAATGAACACCTCTTTGTGATTTCGATTGACCGGGAGTCCGGCACCTTGAAGGTCTTCCATGTGCCTGACCCGGGCGCCTCGTGGAATGTGGCCTTTGAGACGACCCTGCCCGAAGATCCCCGAGATCGGCAGGACTTCCCGGTGAGTCGCTTTGCCAAGCTCTGCGTGTTTTACGGAGCCGATCGGATACCATCGATCATTGCCGTGGAGCCCAAGGCGCAGGGTGAGCGCCATTGCTCGGTGTTCCGCATCAAAGATCCTGCTGTGGCTTGGACTCCTTGTTCCGAAGCTCCGGCACTGCCGGCCAAGGTGCGGCTTTTGATGGTCTACACCAAGGCGAGGACACCAAGTCCAGACTTCGAGGCCTGCCTCTTTGCCATTGCATCTGGGGAGATTACCGTTTACCAGGTGAGCTGTGCTGAAAACCTTGACTAGTTGTTGTTTTCATATGGTTTAAGTTTCAGGGGACTTTACAAAGGGTCACAACCAGCTTGTGCAAGGCTTGTGTCGGTCCCTGCCGAGGTGCCTTCTGATCTAGACAAGCCCTGGGTTTCGATCTCTAGCTTGCCATTTCCGGATGACACGCGCCTTAGCTGCATCTATGTGCCGGGCAAACCGGAGCCTTTGCTCATGGCGGGAAGCCCCACGGAAAAGATGCAGAAGCTGTGCCATCTGAATCTGATGGAATGGCGCTTAGCCAAGCAAGATGAGCGGATGCCTCCACCCAAGGTGCCAGTGGTGGAGGAGAAGTTTAGTCGACCCATGTCCTCCTTATGGCCAGACAGCCGGGAAGGGCGAGATCCACAAACTGTGGTCGCACTGCCTGTGGATTGCACCGCTGATTTGGCTGTGAGCCGACATAGTTGGGTCACCACGCCAATCTTGCCTCCTGGTGGGGAAATGGGCCCACCACCGTTGCCTGTGGGACACCGGCCTCCGTTCGAGTACCGTCCAGGCCCACCACCAGGCTTCGAAGGAAGAGGGCCAAGGCCTCCTTTCGAGTTTGCTCCCGGTCCACCTCCTGGCTTCGATGGACGGCCACCTCGGCCACCCTTTGACTATCATCCACCACCTGCCAGGCCACCCTTTGATGGTCCTCCACCGGGTTTCGGCTACAGGCCACCCTTTGATCCAGGTCCCCCTCCCGGCTTTGATGGCGCCGAGCCGCCCACCCACCGGCGGCGCCGGCACCGGCACCGGCGCGGGGAGGGGGAAGGGGATGGTGAAGGACGAAAACGGCGCAGAGCCGAGAAGGCTGAGAAAGCCGAGAAGGTCGAGAAAAGCGAGAAGGAAGAGAAGGCTGATGGGGAGGAAGAGGCGGCCGAGCCAAAAGAGTCAAAGAGGCGGCGGAGGCATGAGAGGAAAAAAAGTTCAAACAGTTGAGGTATGGATGGAAGATCTTGCAGCCTGACTTAATCATTAGCGGAGTAAAAAGTTGCGCCCTGCAGCCCAGCTGCACGCATGATTTGGCTTTAGTTTGACAGTTGTTTTGCTGCGGTTTGCCTGAAGCGCTGCATGAATTTCAGGGTAGGGCATCGTTTGTAAACAGGCTTGTCCCAACTTGTCATGCGCACTCATGCAAACCAACCTTTGACTGCGTCCATGCAGAATTAATTATCACCTTCTTTCTCTTCACAGGTCACGACGGGCCAGCTCCATGGATGAGACCAGGTGGGGACCGGCAGCTCCAGTGCGATCTCCCCGGAGCCGAACTTCCGTCGCCAGGAAGTTCGATGCGAAGGCATTTATGCCGAAACGCGTCAACTCCGAGATCTCGAGGTCGGGCAAGTCTCAAGAGCTCATGGAACAACAAGAAGCTACTAGTAACAGGTGCATCGCTACTAGTAACAAGAAGCTACTAGTGACATGGAATAACCTTAATAATGGAATTAACTAAACTAACATGGAAGTGGATGGCACCAGCTGTTTGGTGTTCGGATTTCATGGTCTTTCTTTCGGGGCCATGCCATCCACTTCCAGTATTATTTTAAGGATAATGAAGAATTGTTCTTTAGTTTTACATGGGTGACCCAGTTCTGTGCACTGTGCAGATGTTTATTTTTTTTTTCGATCCAAAAGTTCGGTCATCAGTCATGGGTCACTTGTCTCCGTTTGTCGACATCCCATGATTTCCACGAGGCGATACGACATCGACAAGAATGAGATCGGATCTGGCGGCTATGGTAAGGTGCCGCTTCTTTCTAACCTCATGCAGCACGAAGAGAATTCAGACTCAGTTGTTCGCACCTTTTTGCAGTCAGGTCTTCATTGGCCGCGACAGGAACATGAAAGACAGACTGGTTGCCATTAAGAAGGTGCTCCCACTTGCTTCTACGGACTCAAGGGTCTGTGTCCCTCACTAGGTCCAGGTTCCAGCATGTTATACTCCCTGCATCCTATGATATGATAATTAAGCGTGAGCACTGCCCTAGCCTGCAAGGTCATTATTTTCGAGGATGCTAAGAAGAAGGCATTCCTCCAGGAGGCCCAGATCATGAAGGACAGGGTACGGGAGGGCATTGCGAGAAGGTTGAATTGTACAAGAATGAAAGTCAAAGCTACAGACTGTTGATACTTATTTTGTGTCTTCTCTATTGTCATTCTCTCCTCTGTTTCTCCCACACACTAATTGAATTTGCCTGTATGCTTTTCTTGTGCATTGTGCTTTCAACTAACTCAAGAGCGCCACTATCATTCTTTATACTGTATGATCAAAGCTCCAAGAACAGTTTCTCTTTTGCTTTGTGCTTCCTACAGGACCTGGACCATCCGAACATTTGCAAGCTCTTGGAGACTTACGAGCAGGGCCGCCTCGACCTTAAGAGATTTGTGGAACCAGCTTTCAGCAAGGGCATCAGATGTTCAAGTTTGCCAAAGCCTCCAGCTTCTGCATTCTCAGACTTTGACCCCTAGAGGTTCTTTAAGTTCTCCAAGAGTTCTGTGTCACGGATTTGTTTTGCCTTCCATAGAGTCGCCCTCCCTAAGGCTTTATGTTCTTCGTGATGGAGCAAGGCTCTCAGTTCGACGTAGGTGCTTCCGACTCCTGAAAGTCCTGGACACCTGGCTTCTCTATCTATCAGGATTGCTTAACGACCTTGCTGGATTGTCTTCAGAGGATAAAAACCAAAAGGATCCATAAGGTCCAGACAACCGATCCCAATTTCCAGACATGGAACCTCTCTTTTTGTCTGGGATGCGAGTGACCGCAGGAAGAAAGCAACGGAGATTATATGGATCTAAGATATACAATGGAGTGGAGCATGCTGGACAATGCTTCTATACATAAGTATAAACACCATCTAAAAACCAGTTGGTAAAATTCAAGAACTTTACAGCACCACACGGCAAATCCAATTTCTGTACCGCTCATGTGGCAGCCGTATCGTATCGTATCGAGCTTACCAAACGTCGAACAGACGAGCCTCGCCGAGGTACTGCGAGGGCCGTGAGGTCTTCGACCGCATCATGGAGCCGCCTGTTCGAGCCATTGGGAAAGCGGGTTGTGACAGGTCGGAGTGGAAGTGCCGAGGCGGATGCCGTTAAGGGCGAACCTGGGATCGATGGGGAGAGATAACTCGATGGACTAACCGACAACTGAATGCAATCTGGAAGACCCTTAGGAAGATGCTGACATAACAGTTGATCCCGGATTGATACGGTTGTGAGAAGTAAGAGTCTGATGGTCCCCCTCACCCTCGGTTAAATAAGCTTGGTGCGAGCTTGGGACATTGGACCATAGGGGGTTGACACGCGTGGTTCCACTGAACATTGGTTTCTCAGCATTCGCCGACCTTCGCTAAGGCAAGGGCTGATCCAAGAGTCAATCACCGCGCAGATCGTCCGGCAGTCGGCGAGCGCGCTCCTGTGCGCACCTTTCATGTGAAAAGCTCCCGGTTTGGATCACTTACTGCATTGGACCCTGAAGTCGGCAGGTATGCACACAATCGCGGTATTGCGCATCGTGATATGAAGCCAGAGAACATCTGCCGTACATGGCATGTTTTCCTCAGCAGATTGATGTGACCGGACCAGGAAGGTTTTTTTGGACAGTGGAGCAGCGCAGTCGCCAGGCTTTTGCAGTAGAGACGTGACCAACAATCACGTCAAGGTGCACCTTCCTTTAAACTTTAAAGTCTCTACGTTGGCTTTCTGTAGACCAAGAAAAACGACAAAGCTGCGACAAAGCTCCTTTTGCACTTCTTGGCTGTGTTTCCGTGACACCTGCATGCAGCTCATCGACTGGGGCCTGGGCTTCTACTTTGGCCAGGCCTGCAAACATTTCTTCTTAACATCTTTTCCACTCCTGTGTCAGCAGATTTCCGGATTCCGTTTTGTGCATTCGTACTGTGGTCAGTAACAGCAGGCCCATGGCCAATGTACGCGGAGAATGATCAGAAAGAGCAAAAGACTTGTTGGAAGAACAGAATAGAGACACCCAATAGCGATGGCCTCCAACAGCCAACACATAAGATGTAAGTCCTGAGGAATTCAGGAACCATCTATATAGAATATAGACCTTTCTTATCTTTTTCTTTGTTTCTATTAGCGATGGCCTCCCCCTAGTAGTGATGGCCTCCAAGCTAGTGATGGGCTTCAACCTAGTAGCAATGGCCTCCAACCTGCTAGCGATGCCCCTTAGTGGAATTGTCCCTGGTCCAGGGCCGAATGAATTCGGCGGTTGGCAGCCTCACCTATGCAGCTCCAGAGGCTGAACGTGGTCGGAAAACCCGCTCAACACCGAAATGGCCATTCTCGCTGATCTCCTTCACCTGTGTCCATCCAAGTCCGTTCAACACCGAAAATCGGAACGGTCTTAGTTTTTCGTTGCCGTTCGAGCCCACTTCGGTCTGATGGGACAGGTCTTGGAGGCGAAAGAGAAGCAGGGCTACACAGCTCTGGCCCCAACGCGCGACTGAAACGGCGTGCGACACACCGGAAGAATCGGATGTCGGATGTCGCACGCCACTTCTCACTTCGGATCGGATGCAGCCTGTGTCCCAAAGGCAGCTTGCGATCTATGGAGCCTGGGGGTAGTGACCTATGCCGAGCCTCAGAGTTTCTTTGGGGACTTGGTCTTGGATTGCATTGGTCTTTTTACGGCATCTTCCAGCTTGACCCGTGACAGCTTCGGGTGTGAGGTCATGCTCTGTGGGAAGCCGCCCTTCTGGGGCAACTACAACGATCAACTCCGGAGGACCGCCGGACCATCCGAAGGCATGCGCAAAAAGGCCTTTGTCTTGACCGCATTGGAGTTCGAAGGGTTCGGAGTTTGCAAATGTGTTTATTCCTTTCCGTCGTTTTTGTTTTTTCTCCGTCATTCGACATGATCTTCCGCCGCTGCGCAGGATGAAGCGAGAGACCTTTCCAATGAGCGATAGCACTTGGCAGCAGATTTCTCGACCGGCGAAGGCGGGCGCACGCTGGCAGGATGTGGGGACATGCAGCTCAGACTTTGAGCAACCAGTCACAGTGGTTGGTGTATGTTCGGCGGTGAACAAGACATGTTCACCAACCCGCGCGTCTGAACGGCCTTTGCGTCTCCAACTGGTCAGGAGCTGATTCGTGGCCTTCTCAGAGCTGATCCCAAGCAAAGGACTCCGGAAATTGTCAGCTGGCATCATCCGCACTCCAAGTGGTTGCAACTGCTTGAAGAATCTTTAGACATGATTCATGATATGACATGATGATATATACAGTATATATACATATAACATATACATATATATATATTTATATATACAGTATATATATGTATATAATATGTTAATACAATATTACGTGTAACTTTATACACATATTGTTTGGTTCCCTTGAGTGGCGTCCAAAAAGGTGCGACATGACCCTGGGCCGGAAGCCGAACGCCGCGCTGCTCCGCAGGATGAAGCTGGAAGATGTGCTGCGAAACCCTTGGGTCAGGCGGAGTCCATCGCACCAGATGCTCTCTGGGTGTCTCATTATCCGTGGACAGAACGGCAAAAGGGACAGGTGAAGTCTAGGGATGTGTCGTCGTTCTTGGATGTGAAAGTTCCGTTCTTCATCTCTCCACATCCGAGAAGGGGCCCCAGTCAGACACGGCAAGCGAGGACACTGCTTCGTTTCGCCGTCGGCCGTCGTGAGGCTCCAGGACACTCCGGGTGGCATGGACACGCGGATCGCCAGTCAGGCCCGAGGCCTTTTCATGTGGGCAAAACACTGGATATTTCCACTGGGCAAAGACGGTGGATTCCACCGACGCGCTCCACGGGGTTTCCTGATTTTTGGGGTGAGACATAGCGGTGAAACCCTGATTTGTTTGAGTACGCAGGAAGTTCAGAGCCAATGTGAGCGGCTCGGACTGATTTGGGTTCTGATGGGTTTGAGGGGATACTTGCAGGTGACCAGGCTTGTAAAGCGACCTGGCGTACACCCACGTCTCAGGGTGTGCCTGAATGTTGGCGTCCCCTTGGCAGGTACTGAACAACCTGCGTCAGCCAGATGCTTGGTTTCACAAACAGTTTCGGCCCCTTGCATGGCCCCTTCCGCCCTGCGAAGACTTCCGCGGTTGTGCCCGGTTCCGCCACGAAGTGGCGCAACTGCTGCGCACCTGCTGCGGCGCCTCCGAGGTTCAGTCGAACCTCGCAGTTCTTCAGCCTCTGCGTGGCCTCCGTCGCCGTCCGAGTGGGTTCCACGACGTGGGTGCGTCTTGCGTGTCCGTCTGGCGTGGGAGTGAAGAGTTTCTCGTCCTGGTGGTCCAGGGTGGTTTAGAAGTTCTTTTTGGTTCCTTTTATTTGACGTACACAGGCGATTCTGCTACAGGGTCATTGACCTGGCACCTATGCAAGACGATGCTCCTCGATGCTCCTGCAAGCTTGCACCAATCGCCACACTTTGCCACAGGGAAGGTCTCGAAACAAACGGAACCTCGGGGGCGGCTTGGACTTGTGTTTTTTATCCTTTCTCACGTTGTGCCGAGCTGTGCGCCGCTTCAACCAACGAGTTGAGGTTGCCCGACAGCTGGACCACCGGAACCTGAGAGATGTTCACAAGGCGCTCGACCGGTTTGTGGGAAGCTCCGGTTGCTTCGGAACGTCGACCGCCCGACCGCCCGACCGCGCTCCTTGGTCGGGACGCCTCCTTCCGGACGTCAGCAGGTGTTTTCGGAGATGGACACCAACGGGGATGGTGTGCTGGAGCTGCACGAGGTGAGGGTTGGAGGGTCAGGGACTTCATTGAATGGAACAAGAGCAAGAGTTGGAACTGTGGACCATCCGCGGTGGATGTTTGGATGCGACCACTAATACTTTCCAATGCTGTTTCAGAGTGTTGGTGGCTCTTCTGACGTTGCCTTTCGAAGGTCAAAGAAGGCTTTCAGAAGTTTTTTGGCCAACACCTCAGTGTTTTCACTTTGCATTTCAGAAGTTCTCAAATTCATCGAACAGTCAAACAGTTTTCGCATAGTGCTTGTAAGTTTTCGAACTAAAAGAGACATGTCCATGTCCCCAACTTGGTGAGAGGCAGGATGGCATATAGCTGGTAGTAGTCTGTTCTACACTTGTTTATCGACTACCTGCGGCATACCGACAAGACATGACTACGAGCATGAACGAGTTTGTGCTCAAGGTGCATTTTGTATTGCATCGAAACATAGCAACTGCATGCAACTACGAAGAGCAACTTCCTTGAGCATGCCGCACTGCACGCCATGTTGTGACTTCCAAAAGCTTCATTGCTGACATGGGTGGCCAAAAGCGTTGGCAACTGGCAACTCCCTTTTGTGGGTCATGCGGGACGCTGGTCCCCTTTTGGAAACCCAAAGCGTTGTGAGGCAAAGACAGCGAACAGGTGAAGGATGTGGAGCAAGTCTTTCAGAGGTGGCTGGCTCCAGTCGAGAATGTGGGGGAGGGGGACCTCCTGAAAATCCAAACAACGCAGCACCGTGTGTTTGGATGTCAGAATTATTGCTGCGATTCATTCGTGCTGAAGATTGGGGTCTAGTATCTTTTTTGTAGATGGAATAGTTCTCGAAGATAAAGATACTTCTTGGCATCCCAAAGTCTTGGAGGGAGGCCGACACGCTTTCATCGATCTGAGTGGCCAAATGTCTTTGCTGTCTGATCTGAGACGTACCATTTTTCCGCACAGGCTGGACCTGGATGGCTCTGGTGTCATCGATTACACCGAGTTTTGCGCCGCAGGCATCGGCGAACGGGTCATCCTGGAGGCGAGACGGGCGGGGATGGCCGGCTCAGCGACGCTTTGGGCTCGGCGACGATGGTTTGGGCAAACGACCCACGGTTTGGGCGTTGGGATGAGATCAAGGTGTGGTTTGCGTTCAGTTGTTCAAGAACTCTGTGGGTATGAGGGCTACTTGTAGTTTCAAAGGTCTCGAGTTTGCTCAGGCTTGTTTCTATGATTGTTGGTCGTGTTTTTGTCAGCCAGGACTGCTTTGTTGTTGTTGGTGGTGGTGGTAGTGCAGGTGGTGAAGGTAGAATTTGGGGTTTTCACGTCTTCCCGTGCTGGTCAGGAAGACGTGCTCTTTGCAGCCTTCAAAGCTTTTGATGTCCAGGAGAAGCGTCCTGGAAGGGTGGTTGCGGTTGCTGAAATGAAATGTGGGAATGGACTGCCAAAGAAGGGGGCTCTATGCCCTTCAATGCCATAGAGTTTGTGAGAAAAAGTGGACTCTGAGGAAAACAGATACTTTCCGACCCAAAATAACCAAGGGTGTTTCTTAGTTTCTTCCCAGACCGACAGGACGACGATGGGAGGATCACCAAAGAGGAGATCATGCAGGCCGATGTGGCGATTTGGCGAGACTGCGAAATAAACCAGTCGGAAAACGTTCTCCCGCGCAGTCCCATACGTACGTGTTTGGATTTGTTTTTTTTTTGACTATCAGATGATCAGATGTTTCATGGGGGTAAAGATCACTGACCATCATCTGATCATCACGTTTGCACAATGCCACCGCTTGCTGAAGGCGAATGCGTTTGTCCTTGAAGTCGGGCGCACGCACGTGAGAGAGAATAGATGGACTTGCAATCCTATCTATTCGTGAATGCTGTCCTTGGTGCCCAGATGTCCTTGGATGTTCACCACCCGATCTCACTCCACGAAGAACACAGCTGAATGGACCCTTTGCGGCGAAGGTCCACGGACGTCGCAGTGCGCGGCATGCTTGCTGTGTGCGTGCGTTACGACGACTTGGAGTCGTTATGCGCCACAGCCCATTGATGGTTGGAGGATCAGAAGCGATGAGACTTTCCTCGAACATTAGCCCTGGCGCCTTCTTCGCTCCACAGCAGGCGTGGCTCTTCCATCACGGCGAAGGGGGAGCGGTGGGCCGCAGTGCCAAAGGTAGTGAAGGAAGGAACTTGCGACCGAAGCGGCATCAAAACAAGAATATGCACCGACTGGAAGCAGGACGAAACAGCCGCAGGAGCTGGAGAAGAAGAAGAAGTGTGAAGAGACTTTGCAAGGCAGCTCCGCAATGGAGTTTGCTAAAGCACCAAGTATATATATATATATTATACATAACTTTATCATATTGTATTATATAGTGAACTCTAACAACAAATCCTTTTTTTAATGGCTTTTGCCAAACTTGCGACAGATTGCAAGCAGACCCGAGTCCCACGTTGCCCAAGCAATGCCCTGTGTGTCGATGAAGGCTTTTGAGCTTGACGCCTTGCAGTGCCTTTCGTTGAGCATCAATTAAAGCATCACTGCTCAGGAACCAAAGGCCACTTGGATCTTGAATGTCGGAAAGGACGCGCCAGCGTTGAGTCCGAATATTGGTGACCTTCAGTATTCACCGGCAGGCTCACCGTTAGAAGCTAACAAATCGTGGTCGGAGTGATGAGCAAGTGGATGGTTTTCATACGATACGTTTTGTTTTTGGTGGATTCATGAAATGAAGAAGGGAAACGTCAGGTTGTTCTGTTTGGTGGTTGGGTTAATGATGATCTTGGGTCACCATTTTGGCTCAAGATCATCAGGGACCACCTTGTCTTTTAGCCATGTTCTTGGAGGCCTTCCTTCTGGTGGCCTTCCTTTGTGGCTGTTTGACTGGGGCATTGTCGGTGTGGTGCTGTTGCGTCCCGCGCCGCTTGTCCACGGTGGAGTCCCTGCAGAGTTCTGTGATTGGGCCCCAGTCATTTCCTGGTTTGTTGCATGGCAAGGCAAATCTTGCCCACCGACGCTGAGCTGGGAGGATTGGACACGATTGATCGGGTTGTGGCTTGGACTGGTCTTCCGACCGGGGTTTGGCGTGAGTTCTCCAACACCCTTGGGGGCTGCACGCAACTGCGTGTTCTGGCGACCCTGCCCCCGCAGACTTTGTCTGATGCCACTACAAGCACGCGAATGCCACTCACGGATGGTACAGACCGCCCATCGTCGGCCGTGGAGACCATTCAGGTTGCGTTGACTTGGCGTGTTGCTCGATTAGCATTTGGTCTTGTTGACATTGATCCATTAGTTGTGGACCCGAATGTAGTTATGGCATCTACATCAGGCAGTTTAGGTGGAGGTGGAGGAGCACCAGACCCATCTGCAGGAGGCTCACCTACCAAGAAAGTGAAGATGAGTGCAGCAGTCGATCAGCTGGACGAGACGGAGGTTGAACTGCTGACTACAGCAGATATTGATGCTGCATACATCAACTTTCGTGAAGCGGTAGGTGCTGAGCCAATGCCTGATGCAGATCCAACAGTTGAGCAGATTACAGCCATGGTGACCAAGGTCCTGAAGAGGAAGGAAGCTCCATACGCTGACTTTTCAGTGCTGACACCGTATGGCAGACGCACCCAGAAACAGGCAAAGGCTCGAAACTTTCTTCTGCAAGCTGATGGGACTTGGAAGACAGTTGAAATTCCGGGTCCGCCGACATACAGTGCATGGGCCGCTTGTTGGAAGATATACAGAACAGTGTTGCTCATGATCAAGCACCCAGCAAATCCAGTGGCACATCGCCCGGCAGAGCATGTATTCACAGTCGCAGCTTTGGAGGAATATTTCAATCGGATTGCTGAGTTGAATGAAGAGTTCCCTGAGGCTTGGCATTTAGTGATGCAGGCAGAAGACAGGTGCCGGGGTGAGCAGTTTGATCGATACCATCGTGAGCTGATCAGAGCAAAGAATGAAGGACGGCTGCCAATGAACCTGGACTTTGATCCGTTTCGCCCGTGGGTTGGAGTGTTTCAATATGCTGCACGCTGTCAGGAGTATTGGGATCGCACAGTTGTCCGGCCTGCACAGACATTCCTGGCGCGAGGTGGTGCTGGGAAGAGTGGAGGCATGTCTAAGAAGGAGGCTGAGGATTCGCAATACTCGGAGGCGGCTTCGTCGGCGATGCGCAGGGCTCCAGGTGAAGGACAGTCGAAGGCGGCAAGACGCAGACACAGAGACAAGAACAAGATTCAGGCATTGCAGGAAGATCACAGGAAGCTGAAATTCGGTGATGCACCATGGAACCAGGGCCGAGCTTGGTCGAAAGGGCAGAACAAGACCCAAGATGGTGGTGGTCATCCTCGCAAGGCTGGACGTGAGTTTGTGACGGACAGGGAAGGCAATGAGATCTGTTTTGCATTCAGCAAAGGCGCGCTGGGAGCATGCCCGGAACCGTGTCAAAATCAGCGATCTCATCTATGCCAGTACTGTCTTGGTGCCCATCCCAATTCCCAGTGCAATGTGAAGGGATCTGGGAAGGGCAAGAAAGGCGGAGGAAGGAAGTGACGAGAGGAGTCACCTGTGGCTGTGGAGGGACTTCCTTCAGAGCCGGAGGTGAAAGCATGGTCGAATTCAGTTGATGAGAAGAGTGAATTCAACAACAACCCACAACAAAGAGCTTTTCAGTTTGGTGAGTTCTTGGAGGCTTTTCGAGGACTGTCGAAGAGCTGGGCAGTGGAAGGGTTGAAGTGTCCTCGCCCCTTGACGGATTTGAAGGCTGGGACATTTTGACAGACGAAGGCTTGCAGAGAGGACTGGACTTATGCGATGAGCTTGATCACGGCCATATGGCCCCTCCATGCAGGACGCTGACAAAAGCTCGCAGGTCAGATGAGTTCGGTGTGGCGAGAATCTTGAGGTCAGAAGCCTACCCAGAGGGTTGGGGTGATCCAGAAGCTGAAGAAGGTAACAAGATCGTCGAGAGGATGGTGCAGATGATTTTGAGGCTAGTTGCAAGAAAGAGGACCTTTTCAGTGGAGAACCCATGGCATTCCTTTATCTGGCAGCTGAAGGTGTTAGTGCAGCTTCTTCGACTGCCGGATGTCGAGTTGGTGATGCTGCATCAGTGCCCGTATGGAGCATTGACGCCGAAAGCTACAGGCGTTCTCACTAATGCAAGCTGGATGAAGAAGGTTTGTGCATTGTGCCATCAAGTCAGATTGCACTACCATTTGAAGGGCGGCTTAGTGGGCATGGCCTGGTCGTTTCAGGAAGATAAATATGTGTGGAGGACTTCATTAGCTGCAGAGTATCCGTGTGGGTTGACAATTGCATGGACCAGAGCATTGTTGGATTGGCTGCAGTCAGATGTGGGACATAGCTGGATCAACCAGCGCAGTTTCGTCAAAGTGGGACGATGGCAGAACACCCTCGTTTTGGCGGAGAGGCTGGACAGAAAGCGTAAGGCAGATGACCAGTCCATGAAGGAGACTTTGCTGGAAAAGAGGGAAAGAGAGAACAGAGAAGCCTTGGGGGGGCTACGGTTCGCAAAGAGAGCTGTTGCAAGATCCACGCCTTTGAGACTAGCAGGTGAGAAGTTGCGGAATGTTTTGGATGCATGGATCAACGATGAACTCGTGCGTTCCATTCAGGCAGAGCTGCATCAAGGCATACCTGAGGATGAGGTCCGGAGGCTCCAGCAGATGATTAGGCTTGAGTTTGGGACAGAAGGGTCATCGCAACAATGGCCAGTGGATTTGTGGAAAGCATTGTTGACTGCGGCACAGGACCCGGAGCAGGAGGTGTTGCCGCGATGGATGGAGCAAGGTTTCCCGCTTGGCATTGTTTGTGACATTGATTACACAAAGGTGTTCCCAAAGACAGATGGTGACACAGCAGCAGTGACCGCGTCCAGGATAGAAGGAGTTGTGCTTGAAGACCACATGGGAGATCTTGAGAACTACAAGAGTTTCAAGGATAGTTCGGATAAGGCACAACTCTTGCTGGACGAGATGGTTGACAAAGGCAGGGCCACAGTGCTGCACACTTGGGAGGAAGTTTGCAACACATTCGGACCGGAGGCACAACTGACCAAAGTAGGCTGCTTGGTGAAGCTGAAGGAGGACGGCGCAGTCAAGTCGCGCCTGATTTTTGACGGCAGGAGGTCAGGGGTCAACGGTCGTATAACTTGCAGGGAGCGTGTAACGTTGCCAAGGGTATCGGATGTTGCACAAGGTTTCTTGCAGTTGGTAAGCAACAACAGTCAATGGTTTCCGGGATATTACATTGAGTTGTTTGCCCTTGATTTCAAAGATGCCTTCAATATGCTTCAGCTGAGAGCTGATGAGAGGAAGTTCGTGGTCATGAAAGGGCTACCAGACGACAAGGGAAGACAAAGATACTATGTTAGCTCCTGCGTCGTGTTTGGTGTGGCAACAGGGCCACTTGTGTGGTCAAGAGTTGCTGCAGCTGCAATGCGCCTTGGCCAATCAGTCATGCAAGCATGGGAGACAGATGTGCATTGTTACATCGACGACCCCTTGATTGTTTCAGTTGCCCAATCCACGGAACAGCACACTAGACATTTGCTTTGCTACACAGGCCTATGGCGAAGTTTAGGTCTGGATGTTTCATGGAAGAAAGTCGTGCGGGGTCAGACTTTGCAGTGGATTGGATTTCAACTGACGGTCACAGGACCAGACAGTTTGGATATGCAAGTGGAGTTGGCAGAAAGCAAGAAGCAAAAGCTCCTGGATGTGTTTGAGCAGCTGGAACAATATCATGGCATGATCCCGTTGCATCTTGTGCAATATGCTGTGGGTGTTCTGGGCTGGCTATCATCAGCAATTCCTGCTGCGCGTCCGTGGATGGCTATGCTGTGGGCTGCGCTGACAAGTGTTAGAGAGCCAACCAAGGCTACCACCAGACGTCGCAAGGGCCTCATTTTCGCAAAACAAGTTGCAAATGCCTTGAGATGGTTGAAAGCATTGTTGCGTTTACGTCCGGGCGAACCTGGTCTGTGCAAACTGCATTGCTGGCGACCGCAGGCTGTCACGGTGATGATACAAACAGATGCTTCCCCATGGGGGCTGGGAGCAATCATCGTTTCGGGACAGCAGATCCTGGCGTACATCAGTGACCCGCTGCATGAACAGGACTATCAGTTGTTCAACTCAGTGCCCGGCAACCCGTCCTTTCAAACGGAGTATGAGCTGTTGGCAATCTTTGTGGCACTGAAAGAGTTCGCTCCTTGGACCCATGAACGGGGGGCACAACGAGTCGTGCTGAGGAACGACAATACCTCAGCTCTGCGGACGGCCTTCAGTTACAAGGCATCCAGTCCCATCATGACTCAGCTGGCAGCTGAGATTTTCTTAGAGATGGAAAGTCAGAACGTGATCCACCTGATCCCACAGCATCTCCCAGGTACGCTGAATTTCGTGCCTGACCAGCTCAGTCGACCTCAGACTGCAAAGCTGCCAGCGGTGCTGCGCAATGTACCTAAGGTCAATGTGCCGGCACGATCACGTGCATACTACAGGGCCTGGCCAGAGCGCTAAGGCGGTGTGCGCAAAACATCCTAGCACTTCGGAGGCGACGGAGTCAGGGGGAAGGAGTTGGGGCCTCCTTTTCTTGGGTAATTCGTCGCTTTCTGGTTGGTTAGGTACCACCTAGTGGGTAGGGGGTCTGCCTAGTGGGCAGGCAGGCAATGGTCTGCTTAGTCGGCAGGCGGTTGCATCTTGGCAATGGTCTGCTTAGTCGGCAGGCGGTTGCATCTTGGGCTTAGTGGGCCAGGAGCTACTTAGTAGGTAGCTCCAGCAAAGGTGTGCACGGGTGGTTTCCCTCGTAAATCGAAGTTTCCCCCCTTTTCGGTTGGCTCGTGTGGAACCATTCTAGTGCGTTACCTCGGTTGCGGAGTTGACTTGCCCTTCTGACCCCTTTGCAGCTTGTCCTTACTCAAATGCTCACGGGTTGGACGCGGAACCCTTTTAGAAAGGGAGGATCTAGACCATGCGATCAGCGTGAAGGGCTGTGCACCGATGAGGTTCCACCAGCGGTTGCCAAGGCTAGAGAAAAGCTGGCGGCTGCAGGAATTTCAGTGGTAGAAAGATCCAGATCGCCAGTGAGGCAAGCAAATTCGTGCATGCAGGGCACTCACGATAGCAGAACGGACCAAGTGAGTGGACATTTGATTTTGCACAGCGGAGAAATTTTGACTAGGGCAAGAGCTGATGGCCCGTGGAGGCCTATGGAGCAACAGCGTAGGCCAGTCAGAGGGCAGGCCAAATTGGCAGAGAGAATTGCTGCCAGCAGTCAGATGAGGTGAGAAGCGCTATTGGCGTATGACGCCTTGGTGTACGCTCCTGGTTCGTGCCTGGCTAAGGAATCCTTGTTTGGAACTTGGTGCCGCATTAGTCGAGCTAAGCAAGAGGACCCGTTGCCGCTGACGCCCGCGAAGATCAGGGAGAATGTGGCGATCCTCAGGAGCGCAGGCTACAAGGCAGCCAAGAGCTATGTGTATGAGGCTCGTGACAGACATTTGCGAGCCGGGCATGAGTGGAACCCCCAATTGCAGGTAGCAGTGCAAGATGCGAAAAGAGTTGCTGAGAGGGCTGCTGGACCTACGATCAGGTCAGAAGAGGTGCGATCGTATGTCTGGGAGGACTTGCTGGAACGGCATGGCTCGTGCGCAGTCAGCAATGATGCATCGTTGAGGGCCCCGAACGGAGGGGCTTTGGTCTGGGTAGTTGGGGCAGCCTTCGTCCTACGTGAGGTTGAATTGGCTTCGCTCACCCTGGATTGCGGTTGCTTGGAACTCAACAACTCAGCGCTCACGGTCACTTTGAAGCTGCCGGTTAGCAAAAGTGACCCTTCTGGCCGGGGAGCGGCTAGAACACTTGGCTGCAGCTGCAAAGGTTCTCGTCACTGGTTGTGCCCTTTCCACGCGGTGAAAGAGCTAGCAGAGCTGCAATGTGAGCTGCTTGGCATCGAAGACCGCGGTATGGTCGCGCCCGGGGTTGTTCCCTTGGTAGGCACAGTGGAAGACTCGGCAAGTTTTGTTGAGAAGGATCAGCTGGTGATGGAAGCACAGAGACAGGTGGGCATTTATTTGAATGAGCATCCGAATGAAGCCATTGCCGTTGAGCGCATCACTGGCCACTTCATGCGAAGATCTGGAATAAAAGAAATGGCTAGAAAGGGTTGCACTTTCAACTCCATACAGTGGTTCGCCCGACACTCTAGTCAAGTCACTTGGCAATACATCGAGGAATCCTGGGGGGAAAACGCTGAACACTCCCTGAAGCTTCGGGATGAGATGCAGCTCACGGAATGCATGTCGTCGGTTCTTGGAAAGGTCAATCGGTTAGAAGAAGCAGTGAGCTTGCAAGAGGATCGAATTGAGCAATCCTTGCAGCAAGACGGATTTGCGCTTGACCTGGAACTTTTAAAGCCTGAGATTCGAAAGGAAGCTCGCAAAGCACTGCTTCCAAAATTTGTTTCGAATGTAGTTTCGAGGATCACTCATCGTCCAAGTCCATTGGTGAACCCCCTGTCAGACCCGAAAACTTGGCACACTGGTTGTGGATGGCCTTGGGTGCTGAGCGAAGGGGTTTGCCGCTTAGATTACGAAGAGGACGAGGTAGATCCAACTTATAAGAAGTGCCTGAAGTGTTTCGTTGGTTGATTGAAAGTAGGAGGCTATGGAAGGCAGGGTCTATCTGATTCCTTCTTGGTTGGAAGATG